GGGCACTCTGCTGGTTTCAAGGACTTGGCAATGGGCCGTAGGCAGTAAGGGGATTTAAGGCTTCGTTTGCCTGACTTGTCCACATCACCACGGCGAGCACTTAAACCCCTTCCTTTTGTTCTCGGGAGGCCAGGAGGGTCCGAGGAACATCACACATATTCCACAGGGGGTGGGGGGTGCTGTTAGCTCTACTTTGCCCTTAGCTTGCTCCCCCCCCACTAATCACATTCCTTCCTTCCTTCATTTCCCAGTCCTTTCCACAAAGGATTTGAAGAGGTCTAAAACAACGGAATCTGAATTTCATCGGATGGTCCAGAACAGATTTCATTTCCTCTTTTCAGGTTAGCTCCACAAGCAGCGAAGAGCTAGAAAGAAGCTGTGGGCTGAAGAGATGAAGCCTCAGTTCCCGCACGAAGGAGCTTGCTGTTCAGTGGGAGAGACTGGCCTCCCCGCAGTGACAGTGAGGCAGGGCGAGGGCCGTGACGAGGTGCTCCAGGGCACAGGGGAGGGCCCTTCGGTCTGGCAGCTCTCTAGTGCCCAACTGGGTCCTGGTACGTGTCATTTGCTGAGCGCGCTGGGGACCGGCCCCTCCTCACCCTCGCAGCCCAACAGCACAGCCTAGTGGGCATGGCCGGTACTGCACCACCCGAGTCTGAAGGCTTGTTCGGCTGGGTGGCAGCTGTGACACGTTGGGCAAGTTACCTAAGCTCTCTGTGCCTCCAGCTCCTTACCTGTAAGACTAGGAATAATCTCATTCACCTAGTTCGTGGGGCTGCTGTAAGAATTCAGTAAGTTAACAAACGTTGAAGAGTTTAGGACGGGGTCTAGTGCAGAGTGAAATACAGATGGTAAAGACTGTGATTCCCATTTTATCAATGAGCAAACCAAGGCTTAGAGAGGTGAAGTATTTCAATCAGGCGCACGTAGCTCATTAAGGACGCACGGTTGGAGCCAAGTCTGAGTACAGGGACTATGACCTCATAGTCAATGCTTTTTTAAAAAGAATTTTAACGTTTATTAATTTTTGAGAGAGAGAGAGAGAGAGTGAGAGAGATAGAGTGTGTGTGTGTGTGTGTGTGTGGGGAAGGGGCAGAGAGAGGGAGACACAGAATCCGAAGCAGACTCCAGGCTTTGAGCTGTCAGCACAGAGCCCGACGCGGGGCTTAAACTCATGAACCGCGAGATCAGGACCAGAGTCGAAGTCAGACGCTTAACCGACTGAGCCACCAGGCACCCCTCACAGTCTATGCTTTTAACCACCGGCTTCATTTTTATGCCTTTTGTGAGACTGTTGTTAAGTTTCAGAAAAGAAAAAAAAAATCTTTTCTCCGAGTTTGGTGCGGAAAACCCAGCCTCGTTGCCTGCGGTTTTACATATGTGTGATTGGTGGCTTGGAGGAAAGACTCCTGCCCAGGGACTGGTCGGGGAGGAATGTGACTCTGCATCTGAGATCCACTTACCTGGGTCACCATCGGCTTGAGCTGGGATGACGCATGGGGTTAGACCACCTCCACAACAACGTTCCCCAGATCTGTGTTTTTTCAGGCACGTTCACGCTCTAGACCTCGTATGATTATGAAAAAGAGAAGGTAGGAACCATTTCCCCATTTTCCAGATGAGGGGGAGGAGCTCGCCTGAGGACATGCAGCTCTTTGGTGACAAGAGGTGCCCATCTGACCCTGGTGGGACATCTCTCCCTCAGCCAGGTGGCTGCCACTTAACCTTCCCCGCCCCTTGCACGGGAATCATAGGAATAGCCAGGGGTGGGATGTCACATTAGCCTGTGTCCCTTGCTCCGTGGGCTCTCTTTGGACATATTTTCCCCACCTCCTTGGGCCAGACTGTGGTCTATCAATGTCTGGGTCCCCAGGGCCCAACTTCCATGCCCTAGAGCTGGCTTAGGAGCATCTGCTGGTCACATGAACAAATCCAGGAGTACATGAAATAGCTGCCACTTGGTGGCTCTGATTTGCTGTTTGGACCAGTAGTTCTCAAAGTGTGGATCGGCATCACCTGGGACTTGTTAGATATGCAAACCCTGGATCTCACCCCCAACATGATTCAGAAACTCTGGAATGTGGCCCAGCAAGCTGGGGGGGATGGGGGGATTCAACAGCACCTGCTCTTTGGAGTTAGGCTCTGCCCCTAACTTGCTGTGTGGCCTCATGCAAGTCACTCAACCTCTCTGGTTTGTTTCCTCATCTGCAAAATGGTGCTCATCCATAATGAGGAGGTTTGGATGACCCTTTGCAGAGGAAGGTGCTCAGGACCGGACCTGACATGTAGCTGATAAATGTTAAGTCCAAGGCTGGTTGGAAACAGGGGGCTGAGCAACTGCCTGGCTCCTCTACCTCTGTGCTTGGCAGTGGCTCCACCTGGTGCAGGATGACTTTGTGCCTCAACAGGAAGCCTGCCAGATTCGGTCTGGCCTGGGTCTGTCCCCCCCGGGGCAGTGGAGCGCTGTTACCCCAGCCACAGTGGCCCACAGGTCCCCTGGGTGCTGTGGCCTGGGCCCGGCGGATCTGTTCCCCCCACAGAGGTCCAGCCCGGAAGTCGATGCCTGGCCTTCTCAGGGAAAACAGCGTCCAGAGAGGGGCACACGCCTCCTGCGGGTGTCGGGGGAAGGGATGCAGAGGGCAAGGCACCGGCCCAGCAAGGTGTCCCGCTTCTGGACACGCCCAGGGTCATCCCCACTTCATGGAGAGTAGGCTCAGAGGTCCAGGTACTTGCTAGGGGTTCTGGTCACATGGTGGGGGGTCCTCCCCGGTCAGTCCGCAGTCCATCCTGACCTCTTGCCAGGCAGGGGTGCTTCCCACCAGAAGTGAGGGCAACAGCCTGAGGACCCCAAGGTACTGTGCCCCCAAGAGCCTTGGAGCTGGGTTGGGGGACCTGTTTGTCCTAATTTCCTGAGAGTCCTAGGGTGGCCTCCAGAATCCACCAGGCACCCCCTCCTCTCCGGTGTCAGAATGACTCGGTCCCTCCCTGAGCTTCTGGGGATCCCCCAAGGCAAACTTGGGTCCTTCTTCATTTCTGTCCCGGCAGCACCTAGCCTTGCATACAGTAGGTGCTCAAGAAATGCCTGGTGAATGAACACGACCCAGGCACAGAGCCAGCTGATTCCCTGCCAGGAGGGGCTCCTCGGGGTCAGGCCTCACTCAGTCCCCCAACCACTCACTTCTGACCATGGGCAAGTCACCCCTGCCCCTTACTTGGCCCCAGTTGGCCCATAAACAAGTAGGGGGTTGGTCAAGTGGCCCACAGGGGTCCTTCCCAACCTCCTCCATCCCTAGTCTGAAGGTAGGCAGGCCCCTCCAAGTCTGCCCCCGCACCCAGTGCCCGAGGTCACCCAGCAAACACCAGGCCAGACACGTGCTTAGGGGGTGAGGGTCCTGCAGCGAAGCCCAGGACAGAGGCCTGCTCCGTCCTCCGTCTGGGAACTCAGCCAACCTGTGCTTTAGCTCAAGCGGCTACAGAGCCAGGTCCCTGCCAGGGTCACTCAGCCAGAGCTTGCCGGCCCTCTGGGCATTCCCTGGGGGCTGGGACGGGGCAGGCAGCAGAGGGCCGCAGGGGCCCGTGAAGGTGGCGCGCGCGGGGCAGTGATCCCGGAGGAGAAGAGGCGGCTTGGACCCAGGCCGTGGCTTGGAGAGAAGGACAGCGGGACAAAGAGAGCTTGGTGGCCCAGCAAGGAGGGTGTGGGAGGGGCAGTCAAGGGTGCCAGAAGGTTCTGGTTGGGGACCGGGAGGAGGGGGTGTCGCTCATCGCCATGGTAACCGTTACCACCTCCTGGGTCTCCTGGGGCCTCGCACGCCTGCCTCTAACCCTCTGACTGGAAGGCAGGGGGCCACTCTTGCCGGGGAAACTGAGGGGCGAGTTGGGATCCCCTGAGGGTCAGGACGGGAGGGGACAGGTGGGCAGGGAGGGCCGAGATGACAGGCTTGAGAGCAGGGCCTCACGGAGCAGAGGGGGTTTCATCCTGACTTTTGAGGGTTCCTCCGGCTCGCCACCCCCCACCCCTGCTCTTTATCCACCAGTGGGGGGAGCGGGGAGGGGCCTGCCCTCGAGAAGCCCGCAGTTCTGTCGTGGGGCCTCAGGCCAGTTGCAGAACTTGAGGTTCCAGACCTTCCGTGTCCTCTTCTGCAAAGCGAGGTGACTCCAGCCTCCCCTGTGGCCGTCATGATGTGAACCCTCCGTGTGCCCAGGACTCCGGCCGCGGGGACCAGGAGCCTGTTCCGCCCCCTTCCTTCCGCCCTGTCCTCCCTCGGGTCTCTGCGGCGGCCGGGGCCGGCGAGGCAGAAGCTGGTGTCTGTCCCGGGCGGCGGGCGGCTCTGGTGGACTCCGACTCCTCACCGGGGGGGCAGGGGCCCCATGGCCCAGCGGATGACAAGGACTGGCCTCTGCCTCCCCGAGCCGGGCAGAGCAGAGCCGCAGTGGGGCAGCCACCGGCCTCGCTCTGCCGACTCCCCGAGGGCCCGGTGCCCAGAAGGGGCGCGTTTCTGGGCGAGCCTTACCAGGGGTCGGTGTGTGCGCTGTGGCAGCCCTCACAGCTCTCTTTTCTCGCCTTCTTTCAAGTCAGGCCCCCCCAGGGAGGGGGGAGGGCCCTCTAGGGATTTTAGTGCCCTAGGCCGGCTGGGACTCGTAGGGTGAGTATGGCCCCAGGAGCCTTCGTGTCGGCTGCAGAGTGGAACGGGGAGACTCACCCCACCCGCGGGAGCCCGGGCGGGTACCGTGCGAACAGAGCCCGGGGCCCGCGCTCAAAGCAGCCCAGGTGACGGATGGAGGCGCCAGCCTGCTGTCTACACTGGGGAAGCCCAGGCCGCAGTGTGGCAGGTTCCGGGAAGAACCTTGAGGGGTTCAGGGGCCTCAAATCCCCCAACCTGTGGCTTTGCGGGGTCTTGTGGGCCGCGGTCTTGTGCCTGGGACCTGGGCCGGCTCCAGAGCCGGTACTGCTGGCGGAGACACGCTCACCCGCGGACAGGAGTGCGAGGCACACACGGCTCTGAGACGGTCACGCTCACGAGATCAACTGTTTATTGATTTTTTTCTTTGTTCTAAAATACTATACATTTAAAGAAACTCCTAACTGAAAAGACTTGACGAGTTTTGGTAAATCTGTAGCAAAGGAATGAGGATTTCTGCTGGTACGTTTTCGTGACGGACACACACACACACACACACACACACGCACACGCTTTCCAAGCAAGGCCTCAAGCTCCCTGGAAACATCGAGAAAATGCATAGCTTGTGATGGCGGCGGCCGTCCCACCATGTCTGAGTTACACAAAATAAAGGTTTTCCCTCCTTCCCTCCCTCCCCTGCCCTGTCGTGACGGTGCAGCTCCCGCCCCAGCGCGGCCGCTCAGAAGAGGCCCCCGCGCTCCGGGGGGTGGGGACCCAGCTTTCGTGTGCTCGCGAGGAATCGAGGACTACGGACCGTGCGGCTGCCGGAAAGACACGGGGGTTTACAGTGTTCTGCTACGGAAAGGACTAAGGCTAGTTTGCAGGTGGACCCACGGCCGGCCGGCGAGGACACACTTGCCCACAGCCATCTCCACCGAGCCCGGAGGAGGCCCGGCCCACCGGCCAGGCCTGCGCCCGGAGGTCACAGTCTTCAAGCAGTTTACAAATGAAACCCACTGTCAAAAGCCGTTACATCTCGTTAAACCAGTAGACGAACTCTTCAGATTCTCGGAACATCAAATAGTGTACACGGGTAGGCGCCGAGACGGGACAGTGAGGCGTCTTCGCCTACGGACGCGTGTGCTGGCAGCGTCAGTCTTACTTTCTAACCTTCCGAATCGCTGACAAAATTGTTAACTGGCAAGAGTAGAGTTTTAAACACACATGGAACGGAAACAGCTTTTAAATACGGTGACACTGGGAGAACATGACGACACGACATGACGACATGACGTGAGGTTACATCAGGACCTCGGGGAGGGTGCCCCCGGGGAGGAGGGCTTTCCCAGAGAGAAATCCAGCCCCCGGGGATCCGCCTTCCCCCCCTCCCACGGCGCTCTCTCCCTCTCCCTCCCTCGCGCGCTCTCTCTCTCTCTCTCTCCTCCAAGGCACAGCACTCCCCGCAGGACCGTGGGTACCAACCTGTGCCACTGTTTAAGCATGAATGAATGAAGGGCACGTATGCAAAAAAGCATCACCGTACACAGCCTTTAAATTAGGAACCCTGAAGTCTTCACTCTGCAGATGGCACGTGAGTTTGTTCATTTGAGTCGCGGGTGAGGCTTGTCCGCGGCGGGGCGAGCATCAGCGGAAGCCGGAAGCCGCCACAGACTCCAAGGAGAGGAGAAGGGACAAGGGCAAGGACGCACAGATCCACGATAAGCCAGCACGGCCTGCGCCGGGGGGGTGGGGGGGGGCCCGGGGCGCTTTCCGTCGCACCGTGTCCTCCTGCGCTCAGACTGCTCTGTCGGCACCGCGTGCGGGAAGGGTGCCGAGTCCCGGGGGAAACGACCGGCTCGTCTGCCTTCGAGAGACACCATGAAGCCAAGAGCAACGGAACCATCATCTTTTGCAGGACAAGGAGCAGATGCTCGCACAGCCGGCTGCTGCCAGAGGCGCCGCTGCCCGGGGCCGACGGCCAGTGGAGCTCCCGGGTCCACGGCCTCCCCGCTCCGCCAGCCGGCCGGCCGGCCCGTCACTGGATCGTCTCGACGTAATTGGCGGGGTACAGGCCAACCTGCCCGTTGTCCAAGCGTCCCTTGCACCAGCCCTGCTCATCCTCATCCTCGATCTTGGTCAGCTCGTCCCCTTCAAGACAAGAAGGAAGCAGTCCCGGTGAGCGGGTGGGTGACACGCCGACCACCCCGTTAGAGTCGCCCTCGTGGCTCAGCCCCCCTCCCCCGCCTCAGAGGATCTCTAACTTGGGGGGGGCGCAGACATTCTCTGGGGGGCAAGGTGGGACCCAGGGCCTGGCCGTTTCTCCGCTATGTTGCATCGTAAGCCATCCTTTCGGCCATGGGGGCCTCTGAGATGTTACGACCGCCACCTCTCAGTGACCCTAAAGCAAGCAGCTCCTAGAGACACTGCAGCATTAAGTGCCGCAGGCCCTGTGCTCCCTGACTGACCCAGGCCAGGTCAGGGGAATCCTTTCCGAGGGTCCATGCCACCCCCGGCCCCCGACCCTCTCCTGCTGTCCTCCCTCCCAGGCCCCGGGCCGCTCGATCTCGGATCTCCCTCCAGCACTTACCGCACTGCCTTATGCCTTCATTTAACCTGTGTCCAGAGCAGGCACCCATCACACGATCCCTAGCACCCAGCTCAGGGCGTCTGTCCTCAGCTCAACCCCCTCCCAACACTGTGAGATGGAAGCCACGGGCTGTGTGTGTTAGTGCGGCTTGATTCACGTCTGGCCCGCTCAGACATGAGGGAGGCCCTACTTCGAGCCAGGCCCTGGGAAGTGGAGGAGACACACTCGTGAGAGGGGACACACCAGGGGGACGAAGACCAAAGGCGTGGCCGGGGCCGTGGTGGCGCTCGGTCCAGGTCTGGCAGACAGATCCGTCCAGAGCCAGCGGACGGGCGAGGAGCCACCCTGCGGAGACGCCGTGGGAACCTGTGGCCCAGACGCCCCTGCCAGCAGGGAGCCGGTTGCAGACGGTCGGCCCTGGGAGACACTTCACCTTTTGTTCAGTTTGCAGCTTTGTATTTCTCATTGGCTTATTGGTGCATTTTTCAGGCTTAGTTGCAGTTTTTCCCCAGGCAATTATGCCATTTAGATGTCTCCCTGTCGCTATCACAGCAGCAGTGATGTTACTAAAATGCACGTGGGGCCGCCGCCCAGGGCTCAGGGGCTGGGAGACCCGGCAAGGTGCCCTGGCCCTGGGGCCTACTTTCCTCATCTGCAGACCAGGTGCGGGCAGGGTTAAGCATCAGACCAGGGAAGGGCCGGCTGGTGCCCGGCATGCGCCACGTGGGGGTGATTTTTCTTCCAGTCACTGCGGCTGAGATGGGCACCGGGGCCACCAATCTCTGGCACAAACCTGACCACAACAGCAGCAGCGACTGCGGGGCCAAGGTGAGCGTCGAGAGCGGTAACACTCCACCCTCTCCCGTCCTTCCTGCCCCCCTGCTGGGGGCCTCTGGCGGGGCTGACGCTTCTACAACTGGCTTTTCTCTCATCTGGCCCTCGCATGGTGCCAGGCTCACAGGCACAGGGCAGGAGCGGCTCTGTGACGCTCGCACCGGGTGCCAAGGGCCCCGGGGAAAGGCTCCGTGGGCACCAGCACTGCTACAGACAGAAGGAAGCGGTGGCGGCCAGGGGTGGACGTCACTTCACAAATGACGCAGAGGGGCGCCCAGGGGGCTCAGTCGGTTGGGAGTCTGACTTCAGCTCAGGTCATGATCTCACGGATTATGAGTTCAAGCCCCACGTCGGGCTGTGTGCTGACAGCTCAGAGCCTGGAGCTGCTTGGGATTCTGTGTCTCCCTCTCTCTCTGCCCCTCCCCCACTCATCCTCTGTCTCTCTCTACTTCAAAAATAAACACACACACACACACACACACACACACACATACACACAAAATAGCGCAGGAAACAGACATGGTGGAGAGGACTGTGAAACATGAATCTGTGACTTAAAACACAGGTTTCAGGCAGTCTGCTTTTAGCAATTCACTCAGAGCAGAAGGGGACGTTTATATCTAACAGTTGCTGGCAAATCCAATAGGTGGGACTCAGAAAGAATTAGAAATTAAAAATGAATAAATTGGGGCACCTGGGGGGGCTCAGTCAGTTAAGCATTCGACTTTGATTTCAGTTCAGATCATGATCTCACAGTTTGTGACTTCGAGGCCCATGTAGGCTCTGCACTGACAGCAAGGAGCCTGCTTGGGATTCTCTCCCTCTCTCTCTCTGCCCCTACCTCACTCTTTCTCTCTAAAAATAAGTAAATAAACTTAAAAGGAAAAAAGAAAAGAATCAACAGTTGAAGTAGAGGGCAACGACCACCAGATATCAAACTGGGCAAAGGCGTGTTGGGGGCTTCCGAACGCTCTACGAGCGGCCAGGGCACCTGGTAACCAACTCGGGGCTTGAGGGGCTGGAGCCGGCCCGCCGGGGACACGGACGCGGCCCTCCGCCCCACAGGCCGGGTGCGGGGGTCCTTCCCAGAGCACCTGCAGCCTGTGCTGCCTGAGCTCTGGCGCCGCCTCCCACGTACAGGGCTGGACGCTGGATCTGGGGTGGCTCTGAGGAGGGAACATGGCAGAAGGGAGGAGCCTGGCTCTCCGTGGGCCACTGTGGCGCCAGGCCACCCGAGCCTCCTCCGACAGGCTCTAAGGCAGGGCTTTCAAACTGAGGGTTGCAACCCATTTTGGGAAATTCCAACCAGGATTTAAAACATAAATAAAAGACGAAGGCTAGAAAGCCTGGGGCACCAAGCTCCCTTAATCTGGACCCAGACTGTTGTATAAAACGGCAGTTCCGGCTACTGGTAACAAAGGTGCGCAGGTGGTAGAACGTACGCGTTGTGGCTGCGGGAAGTAAGTGCAAAAGGCACTGCCCTCAAACGGGGCTCCAGGTCGCCCAGGGGCGCCCCGAGCGCTATTCTGGGGTCTGGGCGGGGGGGCTGGCCAAGGGTAGTCTCTGGACAAAGGCTTCCCCGGGGGGCCCCAGCGCCTGGCCTGCCCGGCCCTCAGTGCTGCAGGGGCGGCGGCGCCCGGGCCAAGGCACCAGGCACCTCCTGCCTTCTAAGGTCTGGCACCGAGCACGTGCTGCTTTTCAAATGGGGGGGGAGGACCCACAAGTGAAACTCGCAGGAGCTTCTGGACTTAGAAAATCAAACCAAAAATGACTCCCTAAACCCTCCCCAGGCAGGTGGGACGTGCCCACCCTGGGTGCTCGCCAGGGGCCCTGCCTACCGGCCTTGAAGCTCAGCTCGTCGTGCTCCTGTCCTTCGTAGTCGTAGAGCGCCCGGACCCGCACTTCCGTCCCCGAGGCGGCGTCCTCGTCAAATGGGTTTGAGTCCCCGTTGGCGTCCGTGGACGAGAACGGGTTGTTGGACTCGTCGTCTGACCAGTCAGTGGGGTAGCTCTGGGTCTTCTCGCAGCTGCTCACGCTGCAAGGAAGAAAGGGGACCCTGAGCACGGGGCTGGTGGAGGCGGGAGGCCCCGCCTGGAGCCTCACCCCTGCCAGGGGAGGGCCGCAGAGCCCTGGGGCTGGGTGGGGGGCTCCTCCGGCAGGAGCGGAGCCCCTCAGCAGACCTGTCTCCCTGTGGCGGTGGCCCCGGGGCCTCGACGAGTGTTAGTAGAGTACAGAGAAGCAGCAGCGCGGATTATTAAGGGGTGCCCCCCGCCCAGCGAAACCGAGGAGCCAGAGGCCGTCCACCCCAGGCAGCCGGGCACCTCCTGCGGGCCTCGGGCAGCGCTCTGAGTGCCGGGGGGGCGGGAGCCTGGATAGAGAGAGACCAGAGACAGAGGGCGAGCAAAGTGGAAACCGGAGGGAAATGTGTGTTCACCAACTTTTTAGCCTTAATGTCCTCCTTCTCACTGACGGTGCTCCCCGTGTCGTCCTCGTCATCGAAGGGGTTGTAGCTGGACAGTGACTGTGCTGACCGTGTGGGGTTGCTCGGGACATTAAGGTCACTACAGGGAGAGAGACGGCTTTCAGGGGACCCCAGCTCGGCGCCCTGCCCCGGGCCTGCCTGCACCCAGCTGCAGGATCACAAGGCCAGCGTCGCAAGGGACACATCGGCCACCCCCGCCCCGGACAGGAGGATATGCTGTCTGAGTGGGAAGATGGTCTTAGCAGAAACACTTAGTGATATTCTGGTGGCTGAACACACTCACAGCACCTAAGAGAGGACGCCACTGCCATCCCCCCTCCCTGCGTCTGGACGCTGTCTGTCCTGAGCAGGAGCCCTGGGGGCGGAACGGGCCGCTGCCAGAGCACAGGTCATATCCCGGCTTTCGGCTTCTCCCCACGGGCCCCCCAACCGGCCCCCGTTCCCGATGCTGTGAGCTGGTGGCCAGCCTGCGGGGCTCAGCCTGGGGAGCACACAGCCTGCGGGGCACAGAGCCCGGCTGCTGAGAGCAGGAGGGAGGCTCCTGACCATCTCCACACCCCCCAGCACAGCGCTCCCCGCCTTCGGACCACAAAGGGTCTGGTGGCCCTCTCCCCACTTCTTCTGGGGCTAGAGCTTCCAGAAGTGGCACCAAAGCCGGCTGAACAGCTCTTTCTAAGAAGAAAGAAGGACCCCTTTTTGCTCCATAGACACAACACTCATCTGCACAACTGTATCGGCCACCTACTGGGTGCCAGGCCCAGAGGGGACAGACTGGAGAGAGATCTGACTCAAAACTGGCCCAAGGGTCAGTGGCCAGGACGCAGTGACTGTGGGCACAAAGTGTGGAACAGGATGGCCAAGAAACAGGCCCCTCAGAGCGCTGGCCCCACCTGTGGAATTTAGCTGCAGGGCGGGGCCCGGGGGGCCAGCACCACCTCCTGCCGCCACGTCGGGGACTGGGCACGGATGGACAGCACTCACAGCGCTGGATGGATGGCCCAGATGGAGCTGGTAGGGTGGGGGCGGGGAGGGGGGGCTCAAATGCCACCAGTGACCCCGCGTGGCCAGTCACTGATTCGGTGGCCTGGCGAGGGGCACCGGACCCAAGCCTGAGCTGCATGCAGACGCCAGCAGGCCCTCCTCCCTCCCTGCACCTTCTCTGACTTTCTGAGGGGGCCTGGTATCAGGCAGCTGGATTTGTGCAGCAGCCCTCCCGGGCCTTCCTCTCCGACCCCTGGGGTGGTGTCTCTCTCTCCACACCCCTACGCCAGTCACACAGGTGCTGGCCTGATCCCTGGGACAGCGCTTACTGCTCCGGCCACTTCACCAAGGTCACCTGCCCAGACAGCGGCACAGCATCTGAGTGGTGACCCGTCCCGTCTGCCCAGGAAGCCCTGGTGGGAGCTTCAGCGCCTGGGGCTGCAGAGGGGCCTCCGGACCCTACACGCACCCTCCCAGGAGGCCGCAACCGTGGGCTCTAGCATCACTGTCGTGGGGTGGAAGCCTCTGGGCCTGGAGCCTGTGCAGCAGGAATGGCTTCCAGGGGCGAGGGAGCTCTGCGGAGGACAGTAGCACCTGCTTGCCGGGACGCTGAGACCCGGGGGCAGGCCTCGTCCAGCACGTGCTTTCCCAGGGGTTCCAATAACCTCATTGCCATTTCTTCTACCCAAACCTGGTTTCGGCAAACAACGAGGTAGGAAATAAAATAGCCCACACTCGAAAGGGGGGACGTGTGACAATACTGTGCTCTGCTGCCCCTCCCCCCCAAAGCGCGCCCCTGCACGCGGCCCAGGGAGACACTGACAATCCTGGCTAGGGTGCCCAGAGCCGCCCGGAGGGAGCCATGACACCTGCCCGTGTGCACCACTGGGGACACACAAGGACCAGCCCCCCCTCACTCAGGCCAGAAGCATGTTTATGGCAAAGGCTCCCTCCTCTGGGTGTCTCCGCAGCTCCGGCACCAGGTGAGCTGATGACCCTTGCCAGGGAGGCTCCTGGGCCAATACCCAGCAGAACTCAGACGCCCAGGACACATCTGGAAAGATGCGTGTGGGGCTCCCTGCAAGGCCTCACTGGGGAGCGTCTGGGCGTCTGGCCCACACAGAGGCCCCGGGGGACCTATTCCAGGGGACGGGGGCTGCCCCGGTGCCCACCTGCTGGGCTTGCTCTGCAGAGCCTGGTCGCCTGTCTGGTTGATGCCGGTCAGGGTGACACCATCAGTTGCCTTCTTCTTCTCTCTCCGGCTAAGAGTTCGGTTCAGGTCTGCGGACCACTCCTGGGCAGCAGGCACCGAGGGGGAGGGACAGGGAGGTTCATTTGTTTGAGGCCATGTCAGTCTAACACCCCAGCCGGCGGCCTGCCCTGCACGGTGACGTGTAGGTAGACTTGTGGCCTCGATTTTGCTTTGTTTGCCAGCTGACCGCAGGCTCCTGGCACCTTCCTACTCCCCCTCCTCACCACTAAAGGCGGGGACTTGGGGCTGTGGTGGCCTGGTCTTGGGGAGGAGAGTCTGGCCAGCCAGCACTCAGGTGTCCAGGGAGCCTCCCCGTCCGGCCCAGGTCCACACAGCACTAAGCCTCCAGCCACCTCAAGCCACCAGGGGTCGCCAGAGGCCTGGCCAGGTTTCCTTGAACCTTCCGAAGCGGATCTCCCAGCCAAGATCCTTCCCATTTATTCCCTAAAGTGCTTCAGGCTACCAGGGGAGAAGGAGAGCTGGTGAGGGACCCTGAGCAAGGCTGCAATGTGGGGGCCGCACCATGGGGTGCGGACATAAAGGGCTGGTGTGGCAGATAAGCAGGCTGACCTCGCAGGTCTCGGGGGGCTGTGGGGCTAACAGAGCAGTCAACTTCCCCGAAGGCTTGCTAGTCTCCCAGCACGTCAACAGTTTTCATCAACTGCACTGAGGAACACCGGAAGCGAGGAAGCAGGAAGGGGCTGGGACACAATCTTGCAGAAAGGCACGCATGCGCGGTGAACTACTTCTACCCCCCAAGCCCACCTGTTACCAGACAACCTCCACTGAATGAGCCCTTGGTGTGATGGGGTCCACAGCCTGGCCCACATATACCTGTGGGCCCTCCAGGTTAGCAGGCACCTGAGAAACATCAAGTCTAAGCTGCCAGCTTGTCAGATAAGGACACTGAGGCCCAGACAGAAAACATGACCTTGGACACACTGCGTTGGTGGCAGACCTGGGCCTGACTCCAGACCCTTGTCACCTATGTGTTGATTAATTTATCTTCTCAACTGACAGTAGCTGACTCAGAGAGACCCATCCTGACCGAGGGGCTCCCAAAGGCCTGTGTCATCCACACCAGGCCGGCTGGAGAAGGAGCACCGGCCAGTCAGGACAACGACCAGCACAGGCAGAGCTGCTGCCTCAATTCCTCCACCAGCATGTGCTGCCGGCACCAGGCCATGGACCCCAACATGCAGGTTTGAAATTCAATACGTTAGTCATAAAACAGAAACTTACTTCATCCTGCGGCATGGAAAACGAAAACAAATAATTTCATTAGAGACAGGCCAGCACGACCCTGTAAGAACCAGTGAGCCTGTGCCACATGTGGGCGCTGCTTCCCAGCCTCAGGATCCAGAGAGAAGGGCCACGGAGGGCTCTGGCCGGGACACCACCCCAGTGGGACGGCCTGTCAAGTCTTCCTTCCCGGACCATTCGGTTCCCTGGGTACCGGGGACGACCCTAAGGGACGGGCGGGGGTGACCGCCGAGCCACTTCCCCAGAGCAGCACACGCCCCCTGCAGGAAAGATGCCAGCTCTGGTCACAGGACACACCGCCAACTCCGTCCCTCCCCGTGCGCCGTCATGGGGGGGCGGGGAGGCTGTGTGCTCTCTCCTGGGTCCGAGTCCGCCCCGGCGCCTGGGGGGCCTGGGGCTCTGCTGTGCCTCCGTGGAAGGGGCAACAGTGTGCTCTCGGCTCCTGCTGGGAGCCGTCACGCAGACAGTGCAGGGGGAGAAGCTCCAGAAGATGGAGTTCACCCGTGTGAGGCCAGACACGGTGGCCAGCACGGACCAGGTCACGGCCCCCGGCTGCCCGAGGGGATGGGTGCTGTCATCCTTCCCGTTTTACACGTGGCGACAACTAACTTGCTCAGCGTCCCACAGCTGGTAAGTGGCGAGCCCAGATGTGAGAGCAGCCTGTGCCTGGGCAGCTCCCGGAGGCAGGGGAGGCCCCTTGGCCCTTGTGGAAGGCGCCCCCATCCCCCCGGAAGGCAGCAGCCACGGCCCTGCAAAGCCTTTCCTGGCCCCCGCTTATCACAAGGGGCGGAGAATCCCTTCCCTCAGAGAAGGACGGTGGCAGGACTTGTGGGGGGGCCCAGGTGGCCGGCGACGGAGTCCTGCATCTGGCAGAGACCCGAGATCCTCAGGGCCTCCAGCTCTGCATGTAAACATACTGGAAGGCTCGCACCCATGAAATTGGGGTAAGAGCAAAGTTAATTCTGAACCCAAACTGGCTGAATTTCTTGTCTGACACAAGGCAAAGCGTCTCGTATGAAGGGTAAGAAGAGCCTCACCAAGCGCCCACCCTGTCCTGGACCCAGGCCCCGATGCACGTGGCTGCTCCCTTCCAGCCATCCTGGTGGGGGGGCGGGGGGTGACTGGGGGCCTGCATGTCCCGTGGATCCTGGGACTCACCCCTGAGAAGGGAATGCCAGTGGTCACCAAGTGACCGTCTAAGTTCTTAATGAGAAAGAATATAATCGCAGGTTTACTGGGATTCAGCAGGCTCTTCGGTAGTGCCCTGGGGACTCTGAGCATGGAGCCGGTTTCTAGAGTGGCCGTGCTTAAAGGCTGCCCCACAAACAGGAAAGGCCAGCACGGAGCCGAGTGAGAGAGTCAGCACACGTCGCAGCCTCACGGGCCCAGGCCCCTGCCGGACCAGCGGGGTCCTGGGCACAGCCTCCTCTTACCTCAAACTGCGGCCAGTTCATGGACATGCCCGGCCCGTGGTTGGCCCTGAACCACCTCAGGTCCTCCACTGCGTCGGCGGCTTTGATGCTCTGTTCCAGGTCGCGGTAAACGTTCTTGTAGCTAAATCAGAAAGAGGAGACAGGATCGTCTTAAAAGTAGGGACGGCTACTATTTATCCCAGCCCAGAGCCAGGCCACAGCAGGCACATGGCCTCCAGCCACACTAGGGCCCAGCAGGACGCTCACCCGGCCTCAGTGTGCACGTGACACAGACGCCAGTCATGGTGTCCAAGCCACAGCTTTGGCTTCCCACAAACTGGCTTTTTTGTTGTTATTGTTGATTTTTTATTTTGAGAGTGGGGAGGGGCAGAGAGAGAGGGGCACGGAGGATCAGCGTCCGGCTCTGCAATGACAGCACAGAGCCCGTCGCAGGGCTCGAACTCACGAACCGTGAGATCATGACCCAGGCCAAAGTCGGAGGCTCAACGGAGCCACCCAGCTGCCCCTCCCACAAAGCGGCTTTAAACCAAGCCAGGTGGCAGCAAGGAAGCAGGGGTCTGGGTCAGGTAACGCAGGAGGCGCTGGCACCTGGGCCCCAGGGGCGCCCACCTCTGTGGCTCGATTTAATCAGGTCCAGAACTGAGTGGCTGGAAGGTTTACACTCAGATGCAAAGTAAGTGACGACTGCCTGGGGCTGCGGGGGCCGTGCAGCCCATCTGCCATGGGGTGGGGGACGCCTTGTGCTCGGCGGCTCACGGCAGCCCCCCCTTCCGAGGAGGCTGACCATGAAGGGCAGGAGCACGGGCTGCTGCGGGTCCTGGTATTTTCACTCCGAATCTGAAAGGCCAGCGAGCCATTTACCCCTCCGAGTCCCAGTTTCCTCCAGGGTCACGTGGGCACAATGCCACGTGGTATGGGTTGACCTGTGTCCTCTGAACAAGATCTGTTGAGGCTCTGACCCCCGGTATCTCAGAACACGATTTTATTTGGAAATAGGGTCTTTACAGAGGTAATTAGGTTAAAATGAGATTGTGAGGGTGGCCCACATCTATGGACACCTTTTTATAAGAAAGGGGAGATGCGGATGCACAGATACACACAGAGGGAAGGGGAGGTGAAGGCACGGAGGGAAGACAGCTGTGCAACAGGGGACGTGTCTACGGGCCGAGGATGGCAGCAGACACACGGGCAGCTGAGAGCACCCTACCCTAGAGCCTCAGGGGGAGCACGGCCCTGCCGACACCGTCACTGCGGACTTCCCACCTCCCAAGTTTCTGCTGTCGTAAGCCATGGGGTTTGGGGGTTCTGTTAGGCAGCCCTAGGGCACCACGCTGCCATCTACTCCCCAGGGAGGCTTCGAGGATCGGGAGGCGAGGCCCCACCCCAGCCAGCGGCGCAGCCCCGGGCAAGTCAACTCACAGGCTCTACAGACTGTCCCAAGGGTTAATTAATGCCGCAGGGCAGCTCTGCAGCCACCCTGTGTCACATGGGAGACAAAGACGATGTAACTTCTTGCGAACTACAAGCCTTGACTCATGAGTCCTTTCTGAGCACTGTGCTCCATGGATGGCTGCAGTCCACGTCCACGGTTAGCCCCGACCTCTGCCCCAATGAAGGGGTCACGGAACCAAGGACAGGGCGAGAGCGGAAGAGACATCGCAGCGTCCGTGTCATGATCCAGAGCAGAGTCTCTGAGGACCTGTGCCACCAACAGCCACGGAGAAGTCAAGGGCTGAGCAGGCGGCCAGCTGCTCGGGACGGAGGGGCCTCCAGAAGGGCTTCACAGCAGGGCGGTCCTGGGGGTGGGGCACACGGCCTGGGAAGCACAGAGCAATGCTCCTGGCTTGATTTCAGATACGCGCCCGTGGTCGGTCCAAGCGGCAGCCCTCCCTTCCTACCCGGGCCCAGGGTGTGTGCACGGAGCTGGCAGCGCAGGGCCCGAGGCCACCAGGCTCAGGCTAGCCATCAGCTGTCAGCTGCCACAGCTGGGGGGGCAGGGGACACATACCGCACAGGCCAACCGCGCAGCCGCAGACGGCGCGGCATAAGGGCCCGCCACGGGCCGGACCACTCGGCGGGGAGGAGGTTTTCAGACGGACACCCCACGTCCAGTCTGGAGAGCAGTTACTGAGCTGCACTCTAAGGCAACTTCCCACTGAACGCGCGGTGACGAGCTCCTTCTCTAAACGGAAACTCACCTGGCCACGTTCGACAGGTCTAGGTGCTTCTGAACCTCCAGCAGGACTTCCCGGAAGAAGCGCAGGCGCTTTTCTTCGAACTGCTGGCACTGCTCAAACACCTGCTCCATGTTCTCCATGTACTGGGGGGTGCCCTGGCCGAGCTCCTTCAGCGACTTCTCATACTTCTCTTTGGTCTACAAGAAAAGCCGGCAGCAGGGACGAAGGTTCATTTCCGCTCGCCCCGGCTCCTCTGGCGTGGAGAAAGCCAGCCGGGCTCCGCACCACCCTGTCTGTCTATCACCTGCCCTTGTCCCTTTCCGCCACTTCTGGAATCATCAGCATCTAGATTTATCAGGTGACAATATTCAGGCGGACACTTTGAGGGACTTCACAGGGAGCAAGCAGGGTGAGGAGCTGTGACCCAGCGTCCAAGGATCTACTTCCTCAGCGCCCCGCAGGTCCCAGCCCAAGGGACTCCGGCTCGACCTCTGTTCCCGAAGGGCGCATCCACTCAACCTGGGCGGGGAAAATACTGGGAAAGGCACCCTTCCCACCCCACACAGCCAGGCCCCCCAGGCTCATTGCCCAGGCCTCTACAGATTCCAAAGCACAAAGAGCACAAACTCGGAAGTCTCGAAGAGTCTACTTTCAAATTCAAGTTCAAGTCCAAGCCCCTCTACTTCTGAACTGCAAACCACACTCCTGGCAGCTGCTGGGCCTCTCGGCTAGAACCAGGCCCAGACAAGGAGATGCCGGGGAAGGGGTGCTCACTCTGGAGCCCAGGGTGCGAGGTCTTGAGCCCCACGGCCATGCTGACTCCAGCTCACATCATTTACCCGTGTCCTCTCTCTCAGGAAGGGCTGTGCCAGATCACCCTCGAGCCTCAGCTCTTGCCCACAACAGCAGTGACTCAGCAGTTACATCAGAGGCAAGATCACAGGGTTGAGTGCCCAACAGACCTGGGGGCGGGTGCTGGCACCCCGTTTTCTGACAGCTCCACTTTCCTTTGTAGAACACGAGGTACAGGCACACCTGGTCTTGCTGCGCTCCACAGGTATTGTGTTTTCTCACAAACTGGAGGTTTGGGGCAACCCCACGTGGACCAAGCCTGTCGGTACCATTTCCCCAGCAGCACTGCCTGCTTCGTGTCTCTGGTCACGTTTTGGTGACTCTCGTAATACCTCAAGCTTTCCCATTATTGTTATCATTATTATTATTATGACATTTGTCATGGTGATCTGTGATTAGTGGTATGACACTCCACAAAACCTCAGTTGATAGTTAGAATTTTTTAGCAATAAAATATTTTTTAGTTAAGGCTTGCACGTTGTTTTTAAATGTAATGCTATTGCACACTTTGTACATTTCACTGCAGTATAAACAGATCTTTTACACGCCCTGGGAAACCAAAAAAGTCATTTGACTTGCTTTACTGTAATACTTTACTGCGGTGGTCCAGAACCAAAAGCCTGTACTTCTACTTCCACATTCTGATATTTAAACCAGGTAGCACATAATGGGCACCAAGTTCCACAAAGCAAGAATTCAAACAAGTCCTTGGCGCCTTGTCCTCCGGCCCACTACACCCCGACATGGCTGTTCCTTCAGAGACTGGCCTCAGGAAGGGATTTCACCAGGAAGGAAAGTCCGTGGGACCATGGTAGTCCCCGGGGGCAGGGCGAGGGACGCCAGGGCTGGGCCACCCGTACCATAAGCCTTTCCGCTATGGAGACACTGACAAACGAGGGTGACCACGGACGGGTGGGCTGGCCACCCAGGAACTTCGCTTTTCTGTCCCTGATGACAGCTGGCCTTCCACGGGAGGGCTGAGCCTCCCTGAGCCGTTACGGCCGCCTCGCCTTTAGGATCAAGGCCACGCCTCGGGACCCCGGCCCCCACCACCTCTGGAACAGCTTCTCTGCCCCCACTCGAGACCCCAGGTCTATTCACTGTCTACCCTGCTTCCCTCCCAGACACGCAGTGACTTAGGCCCCGGAGAACTCCCCTTTAAGCTCCAGAGACCTCTCGTCTCAAATACTTCCCCAGTAGGCCCCACCACTCTCCCACCCGTTTCTGTTGTCCCTTCTCCGGCTTCTGAGCCTCCGGAGCGGGCCTGTGCCCTCTGTGACCCCAGGCAAAGTCATCCCTTCCAGGGTGTGGGCATTGCCAACAGGAACAGAAAGCCACCAACTGCTCTAATGACTCATCATCATCATCATCATCATCATCATCATCATCGACTGCCCTGCGCCTGTATGGGTGAGGCCCTGTGTGGGGTCACCAGCTCGGAGGCCTCTAGACATGCAGCTGTGGTTTAAGCACCCAGCGCCCGGAGGGACCAGCAGAGGGACACAGAGCAACCACTTCTCGGGACACTTCAACACACAGTAGCCACCCTGGAGGCCCCGGGGCGCCCGGTGGGAACAAGGTGCTCCCCACGCACCGGGCATCTGCTCACAACAAGTCCTGCCCCAGCCAAGGCCAGAGAGAGCACACGATCTCCACTACCGGGCAATCTCTAGCACGGGACACTTGGAAAGTTCCTAGTAAACATCCATGGAGTAAAGTGAGAAGCGCCCTTCGCTCTCCTGCGGACAGCGACGTTTAGCACTGAGCGTGAGAAGCCCTTTTCCGGATGCTGTGCAGTGCGCTCACTGCTTGACAGGTAAGAAACACAGAAGGGCGTGTATAGCCAGTCAGCGCTGGTTTTCAGAAACTGCTTCCTGAAGGGGAGGTGGGAGTGGGGGTTCCCTCGTCTCCAGGCTGGTTCTCGGCCTACAAGGACCATGGAGCTTCAAGGTCACTGACCAGACCTGCAATGTGGCCCAGTCATCCTGACAGGTACCTGACATCTGACCTCGGACCCTGGGTCTGTTCTGCCGAAGCAGCAATTTAGTGGACTCTGTTCCGGGGGCTGTAAATAAAACAGGGAAGGCACGTGTCTAGGTCTCTCTCACACCCGCACCAGGTGCGGAGGTGCCACATTTCTCCTCCGGGCACTGTCCTGGGCACCTGGCAGAGGCGGCCCTCACTGTCCCTGGGCCTTATGTTCCAGGAGCCCAGGTGCCCCCCGCCCCCCGTTCAGCACATGGCCCCAGGCTCCTCACCTGATCCCACGGTGGGGGCAGCGGCTGCTCTAAAACCCACATTCCCGGCCTTGCCCCAAGTCCAGACCCAGGAGCGGCGAGCGGGGCTCACTCCCCCCCAGGAGACTCCTGGGCTCACGCTGAGTGACAGACTCTTCTGTAGATGACGTTCCCCACAGCCACCCCCCTTGCTACACTGATGACGGAGCAGCAAGAAGTGAGCAGTGAGGGTATGGGCCAGCCCCCCACTCACACCACCGGGTGGCATGAGGCTGAGCCTCTGACGTCAGTTTCCTCAGCCACACAAAGAGACGCCACCGCGTAAGTCCAGGCTCAGGGGCACTCACCCAGGCTGGACAAAGCGGGGGGTGTTCACGATGCGGCTCAGGGACCCCTTACCCTCGGCCTCACGTCCTGTCCCGGGACGCAGCCCCTCTCGACTTCGCAGGGTCTCTGTCCCCAGATGCAGGCTGGCGCCTCCTCGCTCAGCCATGGCACGGGGCAGGTCCCAACAGGGCTCGGGGGCCTCGCTCGCGTCAGTTCTCACCTGGGAACTTTCAAATGACATAAACCTGTCCCACGTTCGCAATGTGTGCCTCAGGCCCCTCCGGGCAGAATCACCCCGGCATCTACGGAGGCCCTCCCGTCTGCTCTCTGATCCATGGCGGTGGGAAGCTGACCCCGCCACACCAAGGGGGCGGGAGGGCGTTCAGGACGCTGCCCTGCCTGTGCACCCGCGCTGCTCCGGGACCTTCACGGCCGGAGCCCACTCCCCGGACCCTCCCCATGGCCACAGTGCACTGGGCCTTCCGGACACTCCCATCCTGCCACGGGACTCCCAGCCCTCACTACCAGAACAGTCCTTCTAAGCTATGGTCCTCCTGTGTTCTGGGTTCTGGAACCTTCTTTCAGCAGCTCCCTGTTAGCAGTGTCAGGAACTCCTCACCACCTGCCTCGCAAGACCCCTGGCCATGTGGTCACCGTAACCCCCAGTGCCAGCTCGGACATCAGCTCCCTCCACGTCCTCACCCATTCCCCTGCCTGCCCAGCACCCGGGTCCGCCCCGGTCCTGAGTGGGGCACAGGGGCCTGCGGGCAGGGGCTTCCTGAGGGACTCCCTCGAGGGCAGCACTAGGTTTGGCTGGCGGGACATCTCCCCACCCATCCGGCCCAGCGGCGACAAAGGCTGCGGGCCAGGCGGGTGGCCAGCTGGGCACGCACGTTCACCGGGGGAAAGCCGTGCTCGATTTACCTTAAGAACGTCTTGCTTGCATTTTTCTACTTTGTCTTGCAACTTCTTAAGCTGCTCGGGATTGAGGGACGGGTCTGCTTTGCTGTTGGTTTCTCGTGACGTGGCCAGCTTCTCCTCTTTGCACGCCGCGTGGTAGGCTTTCTTCGCCGCCTCCACCTGCGGGGAGAGGGAGCGCCGACTAGAGGCTGCACAGGCTCTGCTGCACGGCCCAGGCGAGAGCAGGGAGCGGGCGCAGAGCTGTGCGGGCCCTACAACCGCGACCGCCCACCCAACAGACGCTGGCGCGGTGCCTGCCGGGGGCCGGGCGCCCTCCTAGGCACCGGGGGTGCGGCACCAAAGGCCCTGGGCTGTCATGGAGCGCTCCGTCCAGCCAGGGAGGCGACTGCAAGAGACAGCTGAAGAACACAGTCAGAGGGTGAAGAGTGCCGAGGAGAGGAGAACGGGGAAGGGAGCTGGGGCTCTGAGCCGAGCTACGTGCAAGCGGCAGGGGTGAGCCAGCCGAGATGCCACGGAGCAGGAACGGGAAGCAGGTATGACTGCCTGGGGGCAGAGCGAGCCGGGCAGCTGCAACGGCGAACACGGAGCGCCAGGGCAGATGTGAGGGGTTGGCGGTGGAGGCAGCGTTACGTAGGCCGTGGCTTTCTCCCGTACGTCTACACACACACGCAGGCACACACGTGCAGACGTGCGCACGGCTTTTTTTTTTAAGTTTTTAAAAACTTTAAAAAAAATTTAATGTTTAATTTTGAGAGAGAGAGAGAGAGAGAGATACAGAGCAGCGAGCAAGTAGGGGAGGGAGTGCAGAGAGAAAGAGAGAGGGAGACACAGAATCTGAAACAGGCTCCAGGCTGTCCGCACAGAGCCCGACGCGGGGACTCGAACCCACAAACCGTGAGATCGTGACCTGAGCTGGAGTCGGACGATTAACCGACTGAGCCACCCAGGCGCCCTAAGATGGATCTGTACTTAACACATGTTTCTCTAATTGAGCCAAAGTCACAGAGTTCATTCTAGACAGGAAAGCTGAGTTTGTAACCCTGGCCTCATGAGGGGGATAATCATTACAAATGGGGCCACGGACAAGAAGGAAGAGAAGGAGAGGGCAAAAGCTCAGACAGCAGGAAAAAGGGAGAGCCTGTCGTTACAACCCGAAGACAGAGGGCTGTTCTGGGTGATTCTGGGGAGGAGTGTGGCTCCTGAGAAAAGCCAGGGGCGGGCACGGAAGGAAGCAGTGTGGCCACCCAAGGCTGGTGAGCTGCGGGGCGGTGAGGGCAGGGGTGCATGTCTGAGAGCCTCCAGCGAGCCGAGGCTGGGCAAGGCTCAGTGGCTTTGGTTGCTACTTCTGGAAAAACTAGTATCAGTAGCATTTGCAAATTTCAGAGAAACACACATACAAGAGAGAGAGACTAGCCCAAAGAGACTCTGGCGTCTGGAACCGAGGTAAATGCGAGCCACCACGGGCCTCTGAGGGCTGGTCCATCTCTATCGCTGCTGGCACCTTGTGCCCAAAGCAGTCAGAGGGGGAGTGGCCGGGAAGCGGGGGCACCGGGCCAGGGATGCACCTCTTTCAGCTTCTTGGCCCAGGGCTTCTGTGCCTTCCGAAAGCCGTCCTCGGCCTCTTTGGTCTCCTTGAAGCCCCCCATCATCTGCTTGTGAAAGGCTTCCTTCTGCCAGTTCTTGATCTTCTCGAAGTCCTCGTTCATCAGCGAGGCCTTCACCTCCAGGTGCAGCTCGCTCACTCTCTCTGCCTCGGCCATGACCGCTGTCCAGGCCTTCTCCACCGTCCCGTACTGGGGCCCTGGCACAGAAGAGAGGCTGCTGGTTACTGGCCCCGCGGCTCCCGGGCAGGCCCTGCCTGGGGGTGTCTGTTAACCTGTCTCAGCCGTGAGGCTGGGATCCTAGCAGCCAGGCTGCTGGGCCCAGAGGTTCCTTTTGGTTCTTTTAGATCTTTTTCTTTCAGTGGCTGTTCCTTTTTCAGCCTGGGATGAAGAAAGAATAAGGAAGCGAAGCTGGATATACTCAGCCATTCTTTGTTAGGGAAATCAGGGGATTGCCCATATTTCCTTTTTTTAGTCACTAAGCTCTTTAAAAGCTTGAATTTCTGCATCTTGGAAGTTTTCTTCCTAATAAATATTTCTTAAATGTTTATTTATTTAATTTGAAGGGGGGAGGGACAGAGAGAGAAAATCCTAAGCAGGCTCCGCACTGTCAGCACAGAGGCTGATGTGGGGCTCGAGCTCACGAACCACATCATGACCTGAGCCGAAATCAAGAGTCAGACACTTAGCCGACTGAGCCACGAAGGCGCCCTAGCATCTGGAAAGTTTTAATATGCTTAAGGCTGCTGGAGAAAGAGGTGCCTCTGAAGCGAGCCAACCTCTCTCCTTCCCTGCGGCCTCTCCCCTTCCCTGCAGCAGACTCCTCAGCACCTCTCTCATTCGCTCCCAGGAGGAGCCTGGCTCTGAGCAGGAACCTGAGAGCTGCCTGTCAAACAGAGGACTGTGTCCTCAGCAGAATGGAAGCCCTCTCTCGGGGAGGGGAAGGAGAGCTGGAGGCAGGAAGCTGCTCTGGCCAGATGGAAATCTCTAGACAGTGGTCCCCTCACACACTGTGCTCAGGAAGGAAGCTCCTAATCGGCCTGTCACTCTGCGGAGGGTGTGGGGTGGCACGGCCTCAGGTGAGGAAGAGGCTGTGACAGAATGTTAAGGGGGACGATGACTGCTTGAGCTGCGTACCGACACAGAGCGGCACCGGAGGGGTGCATAACCGTGGGGGGGTGAGCCCTCCGAACCTCCACTCCCATGCCTAACAGAACGAGCTCTCGCTGTCCCGCCTCGGTCTGCCACACGGCAGCGACATCCACGCAGGGAGGGGGCAATGGTGCTCTGGGACCCTCACGTGTTGGATGACCACAAGGGACGGTGCTGACAGCTGGACCCCAAGAGGCGGAAATAAACAGCAGTTACAGCTGCCACGCCCTCGGCTACTCATCACCCGTGCGCGGCCACCTCACTCCCTGACACCTCCCTGTAGTGAGGCACTGTGCTAAGCACCCCCCGCCCCGACGACCAGTCTCAGCAACAAGGGAGATGCGGGCAGCTGGTCTAGACCTGGCCCAAGCTGGCTGGGGCACCGCCAGGACCAGTGGCCGGGCTCCCCGTCCCGTGAGGGGGGCGCGGGACACCCCGGGATCTGTCGAGGCCCCCCTCCACTGCCAAGAAGCATGTCCTGAACAGAGTCCACATCCACAGCAGCCGTCGGTTGCTAAGCTCCAGAATCTTCTGGGTGTTTTGCTAGGGAGGGGGTGGGGGCAGAAGCCATGCCATACAACCCCTCTAGTTATACCTGATAAAATTCCAAATTAGAAAGCCTGGTGCTGTCACCACCCAGTGTCACCTGCTCTGCCACACAGCCAAGCTTATGAGGAAACAACTCCCCGCGCCGAGCACCCCACTATCGCCGTGAGAGTCGCCGACTCAAGTCTGGGCCGTGAAGGCGCCGCTCTCGGTTAAGCTGGCGAGTGCAGCATGTCCCACAGGTGACCAGGGCCCCGCAGCGGGGGGAGGGGGCTCAGTGCTGTCAGCAGACAGGAGCCCCGCACCGCAAAGAAAGGGGAAGGGGGCTCACCCCCCGCCTGTGCTGCTGGGTGATGGCGCCCCATTGCCCCCAGCACTGCGAGACACTCCCCCCGCCCCACAGCGGCCCCCCTACCCTTTTCTACAAGCTGCCTCCAGCGCCGGGCCCACTCGGTGAGCTGCTGCGCGTATGCCTTCTCGATGCGCGCCCGTTCGTGCAGGCAGTTCATGAGGTCGCTGCACAGGCGGTGGCCGTCGTCGATCCGCTTCACCGTCCGCTTGTAGTTCCCCACCTAGGAGACAGAAGCACCCGGTGAGGTGGGGGACCCCTCCTGGGACCGGGGCAGGCCCGACCCCCACAGCTGCCCGCACAGCCTCCGTGCCAGCCGGGCTCGTCCACTCTCCCACTCAGAAGGTGCCCTGCATCGGTAAATGACAAGCTCCCCATTTTTATTACTGGCAGTAACATTAATAAAAAAAAAAATCAAAGCTGAATAACCACCTGGCCAGTGTCCGGGCCAGGGAGGGAGAGAGACCAGCACAGGCAGGGCTGTGCTGGAGGGAAGGGGTGCTGAGGGTGCCCAGAGGGCATCTCGTGGTCCACCTCTCGTGGACAGAGGGGTCAGGGACGGCTTCCCGGAGCGAGTGAGGTCTGACTAGAGAGATTTTAAAAAATAATAATTTAGTGGCTCAGATTTAAATGGTCTTATAATTAATATTACAGAATTGGCTAAAGACCTTTTGACCACCACTGGTCCAAACAGGTTTCAGGTGCCTTCCGCTTTATCATCTTCCCGTGCTGGGTTTTATCACTTCCCGATGACAGCACTGAACACTCTCCCACTTCCTGAGCACCTACTATGTGCCAGGCACCACAGCAGGTGTTTTGCACCTGCAAATACTGCCCTGTCCTGTCGAGTGGGAAGAAGATGAGAAAACCAGGGCTTGAGGATGACCTAGGTCACCTAGATCGTGGGGCAGCAGCTGAAGGCCGCGTCTCAAACAGCTCAGGCAGGCGCAGGCTCTTGTCCGCTTTGCCCAGGGTTTAAGGTGAGTCTGGACTACGTTCCCTCACATGTGAGAAGAGAGGCTAGCTCGTCTAAATCATCAAATATAAAAGAAGAATTGAAAAAGTATTAGTGGCTGCGCTGGAGTGAGAGTCTCAGCAGTGCGGACACTGGGCGCTGTAGGACACGTGGCTGAGAGACGATCCATTCCATTTCAACCCTTTCTCCCTACTCTCTTCGAAATCTTAATCAACTTTTACCAATTTTACCGTTTCTGAAGGTCTGTATGCCTGGCTGATCCCTCTCCTATTTCATCCCGGTTTAGACTCAGTCTGGAAGGTCCTGCAGAACAGAGGACTAGGTCCCGTTCCAACACAGGGGACAGTCCTCACACTCCCGGGCCGGTGGCAGAGACCAATGGCACAGCCTACTTAACTCTGGTTTACCAAGAGTTCAAACTACCTGAGTTTCTCCTGCCCCACGCTGAATGAACTGAGGGGGGGTGGGCAGTGGTGAAGTCCTTGCAGAGGGACAGAACACGTGGGCCCCAGAGGGGGATGGGCAACGGGGGCGGGGGGGGGACTCTGGCCCCTGAGGAAGGGCTGTTGCTGAGGCCGGTGAGAACCCCACCGCCGTGGGAACCAGCAAGGACCCTGGAGGTCAGGTGGCCGCTACTGGCCAAGACACACACCCTTCGGCCCCTTCCAGCAGCGCCGGTCTTCAGCAAGGCAGCAGCAAGCATTTCACAACCAGCTGGAAGTGACACCGAGTGCTCGCCCAAGTGCTCGCCTCCCTTTAAAATAGGGCCCTGCTGTCATTTTGAAATCTACAGCAGGATAAAAAACAAAAAAAAAAAAACCCATAACCAACAGAACGCAACTCTGTGTTGCCGGGTTGGCAGCCAGAAGGGCTAAGGTGATCACAGATCGATTCAGGCTTGACGGGCGAGGTGAAGCCGTGACGCAGAGCTGGCTCTCACCCTGCTGTCGCCAACACCACCCAAACGGGTAATCGAGATGGCAGCACGCTGGCTCTCCACAAACCCGCCCCCCTTGCTCTGCTTTTCGAAGGCCTTGTAAACAAATTTTAGAGAAAAGAAGAGGGTGTCTGCTCAGAAGGCACACGCTGGCACAGCCCATCAGCACGACCGCGGCTGCTGCTCACACTTAAGGACGACTCCTAAAATCTGAAAAGCAGCAAGGAATGCAGGCGGGACGTTTCCAGAATCATGTGTTCTGGGTTTAAAGGCTGGCTGCTGTGACCACCGCGGGGCCAAGGGGAGAAGGGAGTGCTCATGACAACGGCCACTGAGACACTCTAGGAGCATCTGCCCCACGGGGCTTTGCTCCACGAAAAGGCTCCATATGGGCTCCAGACGCCTGTCCCTTCAGTCCACACCCCGGGACATTCGTCAGGTATCACCGTTAACATCTCCACCAACTACCCAGTGACAGGGTGCTGGGGCCTGCCCCCTCCCCTGACCAAGGTCCCGGTGGCCAGACTGCTGACAGCTGTTTCTCTAAAATGAAATGCAATCTACATACGGCAAAAGTCGCACTGCACGGGCACAGCGAGAGCAGTTCAGATGCACGTGTACCGTGTATGACCAACACCGTATCAAGGTGCGGAAACTTCCATCTCCCTGCCTTGTCCCCCGTGCCCCCTTGCGGCCAGTCTCTGGCCCACACAGCCCTGGCAACAACCGATCTGATTTGCGTCCCTCGTAGGGGCAAAGGGCAGGCCGCCCCAAGTCAGGCCACTTTGGTACGTTAAAAGCAACCAAACCCCAACAGATTCAGGAAAAGCTCTTTGCTCCCCGGCCTCCTCTGCCTAAAGAGAATCTGGATTGAGGACCGGCTCCAGGAAGAAGGCTATCACCACAGATAACGTTAGTCTGTGGGCTAGGCGTGGTGCACAGGGAAGAGCCCAGGAAGGCCTCTCTGAGCAAAGTTCTCTCCGTCCCATTGTCTCCCAGCAGCTCAGCAAACATTTGTCTACCATACGTTTACTCTCTTTCATTCACCTGTGAATTCTGTCCCTTCCCTTTGAAGTCCCAGACCCCTGTCCCCTTCTCCTTAGCTCAGGATGGCACACCCACCTCACTCTGCCTGTCTCTGGGATACGCCATGTCTGTGTGGAGTCCCCACAGGTACAAATGAAATTCTATCTTCTTCGGTTAATCTGCCTCATGTCAATTTGATTCTTAGTCCAGCCAGAAGGACCGTGAAGGGGACAGGAAACTCTTCCGCCCCACCACCCTTCACCAAGATGTCCGGGATAAATGGAACCACGCGGCATGTGGCCTGGCCTTGAGCCTGATACAGGTCATTGTCTAGTGCAGTACTTGATTCCTTTTCACTGCTAAGAGCCATTCTACTGTACAGCTAGACTGCCATGTACTTGTCTGCCCTTTCCTCCTGTTGAAGGACGCTGGGGTTGTTTTCAGTTTGGGGCAATTATAAGTAAAGAAGCTAGAAGGATCCCCGGGCAGGGCTGTGTGTGGACCCAGGTTCTCACTCCTCTCGGGCAAACACTTAGGAGGGGAATCGTTATACGATAATATAGGGGAATCTAACTTTATAAGAAATCGCCAAACTGTGACCCCAAGTGGCCGCACACATCGTGTCCCCAGCTGCGGTGCACGGGCGTTGCCACCACTCTGTGCTCTCCTGGCACTTGGCGCCGCGTCAGGTTTATTTTTGGAATATTTTGCCATTTTGTTTAGTATGTGGCAGTCGTCTCACTGAGATTTTAATTTGCACCTTCCTAATGTCTAATGATGCTGAGAGGTTTTTCTCGCTCCTGTCTGCCACCCATATGCCTTCTCTGATAGAGCCTGCTCTCCTTGTTTCAATACATTTAAAAAATTGAGGAATAATGCTGACTGGTTCTTGAAGTGTGAGAAAAGTTGATGTGCAAATATGTGACAAATTGATGGTATGTTAAAGTGTGGATGTATATGGTTAGCTATCTTTGCTTTACCAGTTTTATAGTTTAAAAGTTCCTTTCTTTTTTCTTTTTTATATATTTTTTTAATGTTTCTATTCATTTTTGAGAGACAGAGAGAGACAGAGCACAAGGGGGTTGGGGCAAAAAGAGAGGGAGACACAGAATCTAAAGCAGGCTCCAGGCTCCGAGCTGTCAGCACAGAGCCCGACTCGGGGGCTTCAACTCACAGACTGTGAGATCATGACCTGAGCTGAAGTTGTATGCTTAACCGACCGAGCCACCCAGGTGCCGTTCTCGCTTGTTTTTTATTTTTTTATTATTTTTTTTTAATGTTTTATTTATTTCTAGGAGAGAGAGAGAGAGACAGCATGAGCAGGGGAGGGTCAGAGAGAGAGGGAGTCACAGACTGAAACAGGCTCCAGGCTCTGAGCTGGCAGTCAGCACAGAGCCTGACGCGGGGCTCGAACCCACGAACCATGAGATCATGACCTAAGTGAAAGTCAGACGCTTAACCGACTAAGCCACCCAGGCACCCCTCTTTTGCTTTTTAAAACACTGGTTTGTTTTGAGACAGCCAAATGGCAAATTAACTTAATGCAGAAATTTAAAAAATAAACAAGATTTCTTCCAAGTCTTATTATCAGTCGATTTATTCACAGAAAGTCCATTTTAAAAACTAGGGTCTGAGGCCACCTATGTTCCTAACTTCCTCTAAATTCAGGCTCACCCCCTCAGATACCAAGATACTAAAGACAGACGCTCACCACACGTGCCTGGGTGCAGGGCTGGGACACCCCCCTTCCTCAGGGAGATGCCCAGCCAGGGGGAGGGGTGAGAGGCGGGGAAGGTTTACTGGAGGCAACATCCAAACTAAATTTTCAAGGACCAGCAGGATGGTGGCCAGGTTAAAGGCGACGAGAGGGACATGTCTGGAGAAGGAGAACAGTGTTGGCGACAAGCTTCGCCAGCAAGGAGGCCGAGGGGGGTGGGGTGCTGGCCACAGGCGTGGAACGTGGAACACAGAATGAAAGGGAATGACTGGCCATTTGGACGGGGCGGGGGGGGGGGGGTTGGGTGCAGCTGGGGGTGAGGGACATCAGATGTGGAGAAATCTCGAGGGTAAGGCATCCATCCTGAAGGCTGCCACACTCAGGGACTGGGGTGGGGGTGCGGTTTCAGGAGGGCGGAGCTCCCGGAGGAGGGAGCGAGGGTGGCCTCCTCAGGCAGGGGCCTCTGCAGAGAGGACAGACAGCGGGAAAGCAGGAAAAGGGACCGCTCTGTCTGCCGGGTGGCAGGTGGGGACAGGATCCCAGTGGCCAGGCACCTGGGGGGGGGAGGGGGGGAGGCTGCAGTTTGTGCAGACTGGGCTTGGAAAGAGAACCACCACCTTTCTGGAGTCTTCCAGAAGCCACTCTCCTACCCCTCCTCCTCCCCACCAAGCTCGCTGTCCTCCAGGGAATCCGAATCACTCCATCCTCTCTCCACCCACAATTCCCTACCCCGGGGCCTGGGGCCCCTCGCAGCCAGCCCCCCTCTCCCCTTCTGTAAGTCTGACTCCTCTGGTTGTCCTCCACCCCAGGCGCTGAGAATCCAGCGACAGACACACCCTGGATTTACAGGCAGCTGAGCCGAGGCTGGAGGTGCAGGAACGTCTGCGCAATTGGGAATCAGAACAGAGACGGCGGGCTCTGTCCAAACCCCAGCAGGCTTATAATTACCCGGGCGCCGGGAGGGACTGTTCAAACAGGTCACACCAGTGACTCGTTCGTCCTCTGGGTGGAAACAGCCTGGAACTGCCTCTCACAAGGACAAGGCACAATGCCTGCTTCTCTGACCTTACAGCCAACTGGTCTGGGCCGAACCCTTTCTGCGGAACAAGGTGGCCAAAGGCCACAGGAAAGCAGGAAGCAGCGCAGTGAGATCTCAGGCTCCCGGGCCGGTGACAGGGCGCATGAAGGCAGCCCTGCAGCTCCTCCAAGCCCCCCATCTGCCGGTCCCCCAGCGCCAGGGCTGGGCCCCAGTGCAGCCTCAGCCACCATCACCCACGTTAGCTGCCGGCCATCGGGTCAGACAGAGGAATCTCCAAGGTACCACATCCGGGTCACGTCAAGTACACCTTCCATTTTATTCTTTGGACCCTCCTCTTTGGTTGTCACCCACTAGCTGTCACAGACAAATGACCTGAGCGCAGCCAGAGGCCCCAGTGAGAGCAGAAAGAGGCTGGTCGCCCCAAAGCTCACCCTCTCCTACCCTGCGCTGCCTCCGCCTCCTCAGCCTCCTCCTGCCTGTGACTCATCTCAACACTACCAACGATCCCAGCAGACTTGGGAGCCCCCCGGGGACCCAGGGGGGTGCTGGCAGAGTGAGGGAGCGGCAGCCTGTGCCCTGGAACACCGTGCCCTCCCCCAGCCAGTCCCTGTGTCCCTGCCCCCAGGCAGCTTTACTTCCTGCGGTCCGAGCTGTGCAGGCCAGAGCCTGCAGCGCCCAGGACACCAACCCCCAAATACTGTGCCTCGGTCACTGTGCCCTACAGGCATAGCGGAGGGCGTGGACCTTTGTCTTCCTCATTCACGGCTCTTTCCCCCTGCCTTCCACTGGGTCTGGGTCTGGCACTCAGTAAGAAGGTAAGGTAGGACCAGAGAGTGACAAGAAAACCAGGTGACTTCGGGCTGGGCAGGATCCTTAAACAAAACTTCGAAAGTCAAAGTTGTGCGCTTTTATACATGCGTGTGTATGTATGTGAATACGTTTTATTGCATCAAAAGTTAAGAAGGATTTCTGTTCAGCAACCAAGGCCACGGCCAAAATTAACAGACTGCAAACATCGTTTCCCAATCTGCTGGGGCTAAATTGACAGCACACTAGACTGGAATATCCCAGAAGTCCTCTCTGTCAACATGAGAAAGACAGGCCCCGAGGGAAGTCAGGCAAAAGGTATGAACAGGCAACTTCAGAGAGAAGCGAAGTCCAAAGGGCTGACACACACTCGTGTGACTTAGGGGAACGCTCATGATCTCAAGGTTCCTCACCCGACAAACCGGCAAACCCCAGAGCATGGGAACCGCCAAGTGGGGGTGTGTGTGTGCAGGGGGCATATGACATATGGGACCTTGACTGTATACACTGGGGGAAGCCAACCTGAGAACAACCAGGCAGTAATGAAGTCATTAAGCAGACACATGCCCTGTGAGGACCTGGCAATTTTGTTTCTGAGCCATACCCCCACAGAAAGGTTCCCTTGTGCAGTGGGCACGCGGGAGTCTTCTCCCCCGGAATGCGTGGGTGAATGTGGGGGACACGCCAGGAGGAGCGAGCAGTGGGGAGAAGTGCAGGCCTGGCTCCAGACCTTGCAGTCTGCACGGACCTTACGAACAGTGCGGAAAAGGAAACAGAATAGCAATGGCGGGGAGCATGATGGCCTTGGTGTGGATTAAAAACAGCTGCACACAGGGGCGCCTAGGGGGCTTGGTCGGTTAAGCGTCCGACTGTGGCTCAGGTCATGATCTCATGGTTCATGGGTCTGAGCCCCACGTCGGGCTCTGTGCTGACAGCTCGGAGCCCAGAGCTGCTTCGGATTCTGTGTCTCCCTCTCTCTCTGCCTCTTCCCTGCTAGCACACGGTCTCACTCTGTCTCTCAAAAATAGATAAATGTTAAAAAATTTTTTTTTTGTAAACAGCTGCACACAAAGCAAGGCTATCAGGTTTACGGGAACCCGGGCTAACACAAGCCATGATGTTAGAGAAGGGAAGGGACTAGCGTCAAAGGCAGGGAGGGAGATGGGGAAGGATGCGGGCTTTGGGCGCCACCCTACCTACCTACCTCTCTCTGGAGGCTCAGCTTGTCCTCCCCAGCGGGGCTTCCCTGACACCAGCTGTCCCCGGGGAACCACCAGGAGGGCGCGGCTGCATCACCCGCACTGGCAGACAGGTGGGACCAGTTCCCCACCACCGGCTCCTGCGTGCTCATCCACCTGGGGGCCACGAGAGCCCTTCCGAACACCGTCCCCATGGCCTGCAGCCACTGCTCGGCCCACATGGGTCGCGATTGTGCATGTTAGCCTCCCTGCCCCAGCTGGGCTGCAAGCCGCTGGCAACAGGCACCACACGCTGGGTGTCCTCAGCAGCAGCAGCAGCAGCATCACAATAGGGCATGTCAATGCAGTGCCTGGCATTGTGCTCACAGCTCCACCCCTGTCCCCGCATTCAATCCTGTGACCATCCTCAGCAGTGCATACTATTCATGTTCCCATTTCATAGAAAAGGAAACTGAGATCTAAAGAGGCAGAGTCACCTGTGATCACGCAGCCAGAAAAAGGAAGAGCCCACCTTCCAGAACCTTCCGCAGGCTGAGAAGAGAGTAAAGCCAAGACTTAACGAGTCAGTGTTAGGTGATGTGTGTGTTTCCAACCAGCCCCACGGGTCCTGGGAAGGCCACAGACAGAGTTCAAGACTGAGAAGTAATGTATGGGCCCTGCTCCTGATTCCCCTGTGTGCCGCTGGGGCACGTCGGGAACCCCAAAACTGTCAACTACTGCGACCTCTTGCCAAAGATGACCTTGACTTCACCCTCAGAGGGCTTGTGCCTTTTAATCTGAGACCCTGGAGGCCCAGGCACCACAGCTGCTCCTTGTACGTCCTGGAAAGACAGGTTCAAGGGTAAGCCAGCTGCGCCAAGCTGACCGGACAGAAGGGAAAGCCCTTGGTGGTGTCCCTCATGGAGTCAGAATCCAGCATTTTATCCAAAGCTGATAAAGCACACGGAGAGGCTCCGGGATGTTCTGAAAGGCAAGGATGAAAGATGACCTGTTGGGATTCCTTAATTACAGTCCCGCAGACGGTGGGGAGGCCGGCGAGGCTGGCTGGACGAGCTTGTTGCCCGGTTTGAGTCCCCCAGCCCCCAGCCCGCTCTGACGCGGCCGCCTCCCAGGAGGGAGAGGGAAAGATCTGGGCCTGCCCCAAAATAAATGACCTTGTGTGGATCTCTTTCCCCACATTTCTATTCCTTCAGCTGTAAGGTGGAGGAGGAAGGGATTTCGTAAGGACTAAACACACCGGGCGAGGCAGGGGGCTCTTCCCTTAGCCGGGCTCAGGCATCACTACACGAGACCTGGCCATTTCTGCACGCTGTCCACTGAGGGGTACGGTTAGAGGACCTCCCAGGGGCCTTCTCGATGGGAGGACTTCTAAAGGAAGAGCCTGTGATGCTACCAGCTGGCTGGCTACCCCCCTCCCCCCCAGTAACTCAGCTTTTGAGAGCCCAGCACCACCCTCTTGCCACACACCAGTGTGTCGTGAACACCTAACCGTGCGCCAAGAGCTACGTGAGGGACGAGGGATACGATGGTGAGCAAACTGTTGTGGTCCCGGCCTTGCTGGGATTTGTGGTCAGATAAATAACACAGTTACAGACAGTGACGAGTTCTGGAAGGAACACTCTGGGTCCTCAGGGCTGCCTGAAGGAAAGCATGTTTCTGGCAAGAGCAGAAGAGAACTCTGAGGTGCAAGGCTGCTTCCTGAAGGCTGGAGGCAGGGTATCAAGGCCACTGCAGAGCACGAGCCACAGGAGCCACCACGCCCTCGGGAGCTCCCCCCCTCCCCCGCCACCCCCGTATGGACACCTGCAGCTGCAGGCGCAAATGCAGTAACACGGCGGGCGTCAAGGGTGGCTACCCGCCCCTGCAGGCCAGGCACACACAGGGCACTCCGTGATGTGCTCTGATGCCCGGACGCTGCTGGAGCAGAATCCCAGCCCCACGCACACAGGAAGGGAAGTTGCTAAGCGCTCAGCTGGAGACACGGGGAATGAATAGCGCATGATCCTTTCCGTACCAAGTTCTTAATCCAGGGAGCCGTTCCCACTCTCCTCGCGGAGACTGAAGGGAGTGGACTGCTGGAGCGCTGCCAGAGACTACCTCCAGGGACGACAGATGTCACTAACACTTGTGCCGATCTGGAGAGAGCCATTTAAGCACAAACCAGCAGGAGAGCCCCGCGGCCGCTTCACTTACGCTGACAAGGCTTTCTGCCAAACCCAGGGTCCGAGTTAGTTCAGCCCCAAGTCCACCCATGTCCTGGGCAGGCCAGAAGGGCTCCAGGCCTGGGTCTGGGGGCGCTGCCATCCCCCCACCCACGTGCCCAGCAGGGCGCACGGCAGATGCCAGGTCCCGCACACTGAGGAAGGCCCCGGCCCGGCCCCTCCTCTGAACCCTCCTTTCCACTTCAGGGCTGTGCGATCCGCTGGGCGCTTGAAAGCACCAGGGAGAGAGGAGTACTTTGGAAAACCCTCGGGTCTGCGCCTGCTTTCAAGCTGTGCCCTGGCACTTCTCGTGTCTACAGGGTCCCAGCTCTCCCTCCGGCCCACCCACCGTCTGGGCTCCCAACCCCCCCTGCGCCGGAGCCAGAGGTGAGGAGCTCCTCACCGTGCTCCCCTGAGCCACCACCTGGACCAGCCTAACCTCCCCGGGCTCCCCATCCTCAGACCAGGATGATGCCACGTAGCTGGCAAGGGCTCTCGGAGGGCCACAGACCCAGTCCCTTGCGGGCCGGCTGCCTGCTGTCCACAGCCGCCTCCGTGAGCCTGGCCTGCGCTCTGGCTGCCTCCCACCCAGCGCCAGGCCCCTCACGGCCCCGGGGCCTCACTCGGGTCCTAGCTCCGGTTTTCAGCTCTCGCTCCCAGTGCTGATCGGCCCTGCTGGCCGTGCCTGGAACTGTACTCAGCAAGCAGGCCGGTGAAGAAAATGAGGCTCATGCCCTGCAAAGGCACCCTGTGTTGCTGGACAGTTTCGGAGCCCAGATCCCAGCCCTCAACAACGTGAGAGATCAACCGCGTTATCCATCTTTAGATGTCCCAAATGACGAACTGAGAAAGGAAGACACAGCATCCCAGAAATCCCAGTTCTCAGGCCTAACTCCAAAGGCAGAACACCTAATGTGGAGGGGAAGGATGTGTTTTACTATTTAAAAAAATTTTTTTAGACAAGAGTGTGAGCAAGGGAGGGAGGGCAAAGAGAAAGAGAGGGAGGGAGGGAGACACAGAATCTAAAACAGGCTCCAGGCTCTGTGCTGTACACAGAGCCCAATGTGGGGCTCGAACTCATGAACCATGAGACTATGACCTGAGCCGAAGTCGGATGCTACCAACTGAGTCACCCAGGCGGCCCCCCCTTTTTTCTAAATTTTTTTAATGGTTATTTATTTTTGAGAGAGAGACAGAGTGCGAGCAAGGGAGGGAGGGCAGAGAGAGAGAGGGGGGGGATAAGTATATATTTAAACAAAGTTATTTTAGAGCTGAACTCCTCCTTAAGGGTGGCCAGCTAGGTTTCCTGGGCTCTGTGCCCTCAGCATGCACTGCTTAGATGTCAGACAAGGCCCAGCGACACCCATGGACTTGTCCCCGAGTGCAGCACATGCCCCATCTGCAAGCCATTGCCCCTAAGACTCCATGCTGGCGCTCACACATGCTCACCTTCAGCCAAGTGCCCAGGAAACAGCGCGAGGACACGGCTGTCCAGTAACCAGGTCACGACCCTCCCGGAGTCTCCGTCACACTCCAGGTAGGCGCTGGGCGAGGGCACTCCGCTGCCGTAAGAGCGGCCACTGACCTGGCTCGTGAGCCGGTCTCCCCAGGGGTGTAAGCGGGGGCTCGCAGAAGCCTGGCAGCTGTTGCCGGAAACTCTAACAGTGGAAGGAGGCGGGGACGGTCAGAGAGCTGTCTGACAGCAGGTGAACCCCTGGGGACAGAGCCAGTTACCCGGTGCGGAAACTGCCGGACTGCCAGGGTTTCTCCAGGTGGTGCCCCCTTCCTTCCGTGCCCGTCCCCTCCCCAAAGCCTGCTTCCACGGTACCCGACCCCTCCCTGAGTCCCCCGCCTCCGAATCCTGGCTCTACCTTCATGATTCCTGTTACCACCCTGCACAAAGCCCGCACCCACACGCGCACGCATGCACACGCACACACAGGACCACGGACTCCCTCACCCCAGCTCCAAGCCTGGGCCCCTCAGCGCCAGCTCCCAAACATCCGCATACAAGTGTCTCCATGGAGCTGAGCCAGCACAGCCTAAGTGGGCACTCAGGAGCCCGCCAGCTCTGAAACTGTGTAGTTCATTTTGTTTCCTGAGAAGAAGGGGAAAACGTTTGATCTTGCACGGCTTCAACAAGCTACTTTGGCATCACTGAAATCAAAAGAGAAAATAACTGATCTTGAGCGGACTCACTGGACAGCAAAGCACCTTGGCTGTGCAATTCTCTCGAGGAACAGCTCTTTACTGGCATCTAGCCGGGAGGAACGAGCCCATTCCCATGTATGAAGCAGAGGAGGCGAGGCCGCCACACGCACCCCCCGTGCTCCGGAATCCCTGGCCCCGGCCCTGCGGTGGCTGTCTATAATCCCTGCCACCATCCCGGGAGGAAAGGCCCGTCAGGGAACCTGGGCAGCCTCTCCCTGCTCTGACCCCAAAGGGTCACACACTAGCGAACGGTGGTGCCAGCGTCTGACCACACAGCACTTGGCATCTTCACACTGAAGCAGAAGCATTCAGTATGTGGCACTTGGAGCAAAGGGACACTTCTCTTCCATAACGAGCTCCTGGGAGGCTGAGAGCCGAGGCGAGAGGGCGGTTCTAGAGGCAGCGCCTGGGCCCAGGCCCCGGCTCTACCACCAAACTCCTTATGGGAAGCTGGGCCCCAGCAAACCACCAGCACCCCAGTACCTCCACCTGTGAAGTGGAGACGACAATCTCAGAAGGCAGTTGTGAGGACAGAACAGCCTTACAAGCCTGGCCCAGAGCACGAGTGCGTTAAATGCTAGCCATTATCACTGTTTTCTTGTTTCTAAATTTTCCATTGTTGGCTAACATTCCTTTTAACAGGTTCTACTAAAAGTCCACAGACCCTAAGCACACAGCTTATGTGCACACAGCCAGATGACTTAGCAGCGAGTACACCCCCATGCATGGGACAGGGGGACAGAAAGACCCTGCTTGCCCGGAGCCACCTCTGACACAGCCCTGGTATACCCACTGCGGAGGACGGGGGGCAGTGGGGAGGCTCCTCTGCATCCTCACAGCGTTT